ATAGAAGTTAATGACAACACTGCCATGTAAACAGGTGTTTCTTTTTTTTTTTAAAGTTAAGACTAGTCCCCAAAATTGAAATTTGATATTTCTTTTAGTATATTTTATGTAGAGCTTGAGTGGAAAGAATCTTTCTGCTGTTGAATGGCTCAGGTAAAATTTTGTATTCAATATTATGAAGTGCATGGAATTTCCCTCCTTTCCAGACATATTTAACAACTGGCAAAAAGACAAAAAGGGGGTATGGAGAAAGGGCAGCCCAGGTTACTGAAATTTGTATAAAATGTTAGAAAACTGGCATTCCATTTGAAAAGAGCCTTTTGTTTGTTTAAAATAAAAATGCAAAGAAGGCTCTTTAAAATGGACATTAGATTACATGACTGCCATCACCTGAATGCTAATAAAGGGCTTCTACAGTGTGTATAGTCTAAAAGGGTGTGTGAGTCATGTTTGTGCTGTGAAATACATTGATCACTGAACTTCACACAGTATTATTACCTTTTAATGGGCTTTGAAGTCAGTGTATCCTGGTTGTTTAAGAATTCAGAAATATGATGTGCTATGAACAAAGTGTATATGTTCTTGGAAACCATAAAATTAAAAAGAAAATAGATGAGAGGATAGTGTATTTCATTAGCGTGTACAACAAATATTGATAAATTAAATATGAACCTAGTGGGCTTGAAACATTGCATTTCATCTTTCTGGCATTATTACACATAGCCTAAGCTGTAATTAACCCATCATGAAAAACATCCAGGGTTGGCTCTTGATTAATTGGCAGTGGTATGATGAGTGCAATAATGAGAAGAACATGAGACAGAATGATGCCTTTGCCACTGGCTTCTTGTATGCCCTGAGCTGAAGACTCTCTCTTTTGGGGTGAGTGGTGCTTAGTCCTGGCAGGATAACTCTGGGGCATGAGAAGCCAGCACATGGCCTAAGGCCTTGGAATTAGACCTGTTTTCAATCCTGTCCCTGCCAATTACCAGCTTTGTGACTGTGAGCATGTTTTTTGTTTTTTTTTTAACCATTTCAGACTTGGGTTTCTAATCTGTAAAACAGGGTCAAAAACACCTGCATTATAGGCTTGCTATGAGATTATATGAGATGCTTAGTACAGTGCCTGGCACATAGAAAGCACACAATAATTTTTTTCTGTTATTATTATAACAAATAAGCATTATAGAGCTAGAATATGATAGTTTATTCCTGTCTTTGCAAAATTTTAATATTTTATGAAATTTCCCTCAAAATAAGGTATGCATAATGGTTTTAAGAAGAGAGAAGGAATAAAAATTCATTTTTAATATTTTTATTTGTTTGCTTCTGAGAAATACCTAAAATAATAACTCCTTTGTCCCTTTGTTACTCTTTGACCTGTGGTGATTCCATATGCTATATTTACAATGTGGTTATTGTTGCATGATATTTATTTATCTAGATATTGAAAGTAATGACTTTTTTAACATGTACAGTATTCCTATTCTCTAGAATATAATCCATCAACTTGGTTTCACTTTTAAGATAATTAAATTACTCTAAAGATAAAACTATATAAGACTTACTTTGCTTAAATTACAAGTTATTGGCTCAACTGCATTTGAGAGAATTGGATGTCTAAGTAATCTTACTAGGTGAGGAAAATTCCTCATAACTATCTTCTGAACTTCTTTGTATTTCATGTATTCTGTGGTGGCATTCAAGAAGTTTAAAATAGTGGTATTCAGAATGAGGAGCAGTTATTATTCTAATGCTGTGTCTGCTAAGTCACAGAACTGTCACTGCCTTAATCCAATCCCCCACTATCACTTAGTTGATTATAGTGGCCTCATAATGCACATCCCAATTCTTTAAGTGTTCTTACTTGAAATTTTTGCTGTTCTAGCATATATATCTAATAGTTTTTGATATTTATCAACTTGCTGATATACTAACTTCCCTTCTGCACAATTCTGATTCTGTTACTGCCTTGTTAAAAAATCTTCAGTAGCTGCCCATTGTCTGTACAGGGGTGGGGAAAGTAGGTTTACAGTTGTTCATATGGGAAAAAATGCAGGTTAATTAAATAATAATACAAGAATAAACTCTGTGTCTCATGTACTCACAATTGTAAACCTACTTTTCACCTCCCCTGTATATTCCACTACTTAACCTTTAAATCATTGCCAAGTCCCAGTGTACCTTAGTCAGTTTTGTATGCCAGTGTTCTCTTTCATGCAGTATATATGATAGTTCCTGTATGCCTCAGCCCTATCTGGCTAAGTACTAAGGATCTTCTTCCTACAGGTCAATCCTGATCTCTTAAGCTTATCACTTAAGCTCTGGGGGATAAGCTGGAGTACCTGAGATATGCCTATCAAGGTGTAGTCTCCTTCTTGTTCTCCATCATTGAAAATACTTAGCATTAACTCTTGATTAATTGGTAGTAATATGATGAGTGCCATGTGATAAGAACATGGAACTTAGAGAGAGGGGTTTGCCACTAACTTCTTGTCTGCCCTGGGCTATCTATTCTCTCTCTTTGGGAGAGTGACGCTTAGTCCTGGCAAGATGACCTCAATCTGTAGGGGTGAGTTTCTTTAATTTTCTTCTTAAGCTTTCAGCCTACTAAATTAGGTCATCCTCATTGAACCCTAGCCCTTTTGTCTGGGGCTCTGAATACTACCCACTTAATTTTGGCTCTGTATATAAATCACCTTGTTAGGACTCCTGAAGAAATTAAGTGGAAATCTAAACTCCATTCTTAGGTTCTCGCCAGACTCATCTCCTGAGTATCATCATCGCATACATAGTATATTTATTTACCATTGGGCTTCAAATTGTTCTATCCATTCTCTTGCATGTGATTGCTAGCCTGGAATATACTTAAGTTTACCATACCCTAGATTTGGCATCTAGAGCTGGGCCTGGCAAACAAAAGATTTTGGGCCAAATCTAGCCCCCACCCCTGTTTTTTCAAAAATAAAGCCATGTCCACTCATTTATGTATTGTTTATAGTTGTATGACAATGTCAGAGTTGAGTAGTTAACCATACGGCTTGCAAAACCTTAAATATTTACTATCTGATCCTTTACAGGGAATGTTTTCTGACCCCTTATCTAAAACCAAGTAGTTTCCCTAGTCTTGATATTGCTTATTCTTTGATAATTCTTCATTTCCATCTTGTCAACCAGTACATACCCAGAAGGCCAGTCAATAGAGACTAAGATAGGTTCCAGTCCATTCAAACTATGTTTTTTAAAAATATATTCTTATTGATTTCAGAGAGAAAGGGAGAGGGAGAGAGATAGAAATGGCAGTGATGAGAAAGAATCATTAATTGGCTGCCTCCTGCACACCCCACATTGGGGATCAAGCCTGCAACCCAGATATATTCCTTGACCAGGAATCAAACTGTGACCTCCTGGTTCATAGGCCAAAGCTCAACTACTGAGCCACACTTGCTGGGCCAAACTATATGTTTTAACTTGAATTTCCATGCTTCTTCTTTGTCACCTTTCTAGAATGCCTTTCCCTGTCGTTCATAGTGAAAGAAATGACATAATCATAAAGTTTATTACAGTAGCCTTATGACATTTTTTAAAAGTAATATCAGATTCTAATATGAAAGTCTTTCAACATTGACAATAGCTTTCAACATGACCTTACAATATATCTATGATTAGATTTTTCAATTCTTCAGGGTCTCTAACATCAGGTCTTCTGAACTCCAGAGCTTCCAACATCTCCAGTTGCCAGATATTCTAAATATTACCACATCCATATCTTTTCACTCTTTCACCTACAACATCTCCAATGCCAGTCATTGTTTTCTAATCTTCTCAATATTAGGATCATTAAAAATCTAGGTCCTCTAAAATCTCCAACAATAAACCTTTAAGTTATAGGTCTTATCTTTTAGAGTCCAGAATTATAACTTCCAGTTTTACTATATTTCCAGTTATCTATTACCTCCTATATACCAGTCTTCTAGAGTTCATATATTTCACTGTATCCAAGTGCAGCACTTACATTACAACTTTTAATGTCTCCTAAATTCTGATTTTATAATGTCTTATAAAATTAGCAGATTATCCAATGCCCAAGTTTTTCAATATCTTCTAGAACCTGCTCCTTCATCATTCAGGTGTTAAAATATCCCCAATATCTAAGTGACTATGTCTCTTAACATCCTGATCTCTTAAAATCTAGGTCTCTTAATATCCAGGGCTTTCAATATCTTTGACTTACAGCATCATTAAAATTACATCTTTCAAATTCTATGTCTTTTAACTTGAGTATGCCAATATTCAGATTTTCCAATGTCTCCCAATATCCAGGGTTCCTGATTTTAGAATTGCTAAATGTCTAAATCTTCTATTGCCAATACCTTCCAATGTTTAGGACCCCCCAAGTCCAGGACTTGCAATGTCTCTAGTGCTCAGGGCTTCTAATATCCATGAATTCCAACATTCAGGGCCTCCAAAAGTCTCCAATATCCAGAATAACTAAATATCCTCAAAATCCAAGGCTTCCAATGTCTCCAACATCCTGTGCTTCCAATGTCTCCAATGTCCAGGGTTTCCAATGGCGCCAGTGTCAAGGTCTTCCAACAACTCCAGGTCTTCCAGTAACTCCAAGTCTTCCAACAACATCAAGGTCTTCCAGCTAATCCCAGTCTTCCAGAGAATCCACGTCTTCCAGACAATCCACGTCTTCCAAACAAACCACGTCTTCCAGACAATCCACACCTTCCAGTAAATCCAGTCTTCCAGCAATTATAGGTCTTCCACAAAATTCATATCTTCCAGGAAAATCCACGTCTTCCAGAAAAATCAGTGTCTTCCAATGATTTCAAGGTCTTCCACACAATCCACATCTTCCAGAAAAATCTAGGTCTTCCAACCAATCTATGACTTCCACCAAATCAAAGTCTTCCAATAAAGCCACGTCTTCCACTTAATCTTGGTCTTCCGCAAATGTATGTCTTCCTTGAGATCTACGTCTTCCAGTAACCTCCAGGTCTTCCAGCAAATCTACATCTTCCAAACAGTCAAGATCTTCCGGACAATTCGGGTCTTCCTGAAAATCCATGTCTTCCAGAAAAGTCATGGCTTCCAGGAAATCAATATCTTCCAATCAGTTCCAGGTCTTCCAGGCTATCCACGTCTTCCATCAAATCCACAGCTTCCAGAAAATCCACAGCTTCCAGCAAACCCTGGTCTTCCAACAAAGCTGTATCTTCCATCAAATTTATAGCTTCCAGCATACCCACGTCTTCCAACAAAGTGACGTCTTCCAGAAAATTCATGTCTTCCTACACCTCCAGGTCTTCCAGCATCTCCAGGGCTTCCAGCATCTGCTCGTCTTCCAGCATCTCCATGTCTTCCAGAATCTCCACATCTTCCAGCATCTCCACGTCTGCCAGCATCCCCACATCTGCCAGCATCTCCACGTCTGCCAGCATCTCCACATCTGCCAGCAACTCCATGTCTTCCAACATCTCCACGTCTTCCGAAAACTACCCAGTTTTCCAACAATGGGCTCAAAATCCACGTCTTCCGTCTCCAGTGTACCGGTCTTCTAACATTCAGGTCTTCCTGTGTCTACGATATCCAGGTATTCTAACATGTTCCATAGTTCAGGTCTTCCAACCTTTCCCCAGGTCCAGACTTTTCTAAATTAGTCTTCCCAAGTCTATGTTCAGATCTTTCCACAGACAAGTCTTCCAACTCAAATATTACTGCTTCTAGTAGAACTAGCTTCAGAGAATAGTGGTTTTTGATATTAGGAAATGTGTATTTATTCTTTACAACTTTTAAATATGTTCATAAAACACCTTCTATAGAATAAACACACGTATGGGATTGCTGTGATAAATTTTGCTACTTTACTAATGCTTATAATTTTTATATAGTCAACTATGTTTAGGTGCAAGTGCAGTTCTTATTTTAATGAAAAATATTGAGAGACTGTTTATTATTTTAGCTAAAGTTAACATACAGTGGAAAACATACAGTGTATTTATCCATTTTTATAACATCAATTTTTGTTTGGCCTTATGTGACTAATAATAATAATAATAATAACACTCAATGTAACATTTACTATATCCAGGCACTGTTCTAAGGTCTTTATATACATCAACTTACTTAATTTTCCCAAGAACCCATTGAGGGTAGGTACTATCATCCCTGTTTTACAGATGAGGAAACTGGCACACAAAGGTGATGTAATTTGTCCAAAGGACACAACTAATCAATGATTGAGCTAGATTTTGAACCCAACTAGCCTACTTTCAAGTCCATGATTCTCACCACCATATTATAAATCTGCTGTTGAAAATCAAGATGAGAATTATGAGATTCAAAGCTTGATTGTTCTCATTTTATATGTAGACTATTATAAAACCTTATATACAAATGGTCTTACTGTATCTTGTCACTATCAGAACCTATGTGTTTGTATTCATAGATCTTATTCCTTAACCAGCTACTATCAATCCCTTGCTCATGTATATGGGACTAGGCACAAACACTTCTTCATACCATTTTCAATTTGGGTAGAAATACTATGAGAGCATTGAGTTCAAGTACCCTTTGATTTAGAATCATATTCATAACTCCATGCTTTGAGTACTGATGCATGGGATTTACTCTCTCATCTACCTTAATTCCTTATCTCTGACCATTTTCCAGCTTGTCATCTTACTATCTAGACCATTTACCATTACTTTGTTTCTGACCTCCAGGATCCACCTGCTTCAAATATCACTGACCTCTTGGATTCCTATCACTGCCTTGTGACTGACTAATGGTGACTACAACTCCTTAACTCCCAGCATGCTGATCTAGAGAACTAACTACTTGGTTTTCCAAGCCTCAGCTCCTATAAGGAGCTACCCCTACCTCTGGTTGGCATTAGAAGCATTAAAGCCACATAATGGAATTTTGATTAGGCAAGAAATCTCTAAAGATTTAGAATTATCTACATGGTAATACAAATTAATAATAAAAATAATAATACCTTACAAATGTCTAATGATTTAGTTTACAAAGTGTTGTCACTTTATTCATTCATTCATGCATTCATCAATTTGTTCAACAAATATTTATTGAGTACCAACTGTGTACTAGGCATATTTTGATGAAACAAAGTCACCTGGGGGAAATAGACAATGTTCAAATATTCGAACAAATTTTTGTAAGTTTCATAAGGTCATGAAGGAAAAGTAATATAGGACGCTGTGAGAGTCTGGAAAGTTAACAAAAACATTCCTGAGGAAGTAACATTTATGGTGACCGAAAGATCTATATTCTCATTTGATTATCACAATAACCTTGTGACTTAGATAAGATGTATGTGTTTACATCAGCTTTAATCTAATCAGAGGTTAAGAAGCAAGTACTAAATATGGGCATGGAATCCATGTATTTTGACTCCCTCCCCCCCCCCCCCCGCATTATTCCATGCTACCTTAAATATATAATAAGTACAGTTTTGACAATATATATCAAGAGATACAAAAATGTTTTGTACTCTTTGACTTAGTATTTTCACTTCAATGAATTTACTGAAGGGAAATATCTGAAATGTGGATAGCTCATTCACAAAGATGTTCCTCACTTAGTTATCTGGTATAGTTAAAAACAGAAAAACCTACAGGTCTAATTTTAAGGGCATAATTAAGTAAATGTGCTATTTCCATATGATGGAATATTACTCCATTAAAAATTTATGGTCTATTTAAGTTATATAATACTAGAGGCCCAGTGCACAAATTTGTGCACCAGTGGAGTCCCTCAACTTGGCCTGCAGGATCGGGCCAAAACTGGCTCTCCGACATCACCCGAGGGGTCCTGAATTGGGAGAGGGTGCAGGCCAGGCCGAGGGACCCCACCAGTGCATGATCGGGGCCAGAGAGGGGTGCAGGAGGTTGGCCAGCTGGGGAGGGACCACAGGAGGGCTCCAGGGCGTGTCTGGCTTGTCTCCTTCAGTCCCAATAGGCCAGATCCCAGCAGCAAGCTAACCTACCGGTTGGAGCATCTGTCCCCTGGTGGTCATTGTACATCATAGTGACTGGTCAACCGGTCTACTGTTCCCTGGTGGTCAGTGCACATCATACTGACTGATCGACAGGTCGACTGTCTATCCCCTGGTGGTCAGTGCACGTCATAGTGACTGGTCGACCGGTTGACTGCCTGTGCCCTGGTGGTCAGTGCACATCACAGCGAGCGGTTGAGCAGCCTTAGCATATTACGCTTTGATTGGTTGAATGGCCTACCAGATGACCGGTAGCATATTAGTCTTTAATTATATAGGATTAAGTTAAAATCAGCATGTAGAATTGTATACAATATGATTGCAATTATTTTAAAATAGAGGCCCGGAGCATGAAATTCTTGCACTTGCGGTGGGGAGAGGGGTCCCTCAACCTGGCCTGGGCCCTCTTGAAGTCTGAGAGCCCTCGGGGGATGTCCAACTGCTGGCTTAGGCCTGCTCCCCTTAGTGCTGCCATGGAAATGGGAGAAGTTCCCGCCACCACTGTTGTGCTCACCAGCTGTGAGCCCGGCTTCTGGTTGAGCAACGTTCCCCCTGTGGGAGCTCACTGACCACCAGGGGGCAGCTCCTACATTGAGCATCTGCCCCCTGGTGGTCAGTGCACGTCTTAGTGACCAGTTGTTCTGCCATTCAGTCAATTTGCATATTAGCCTTTTATTATATAGGATGTATAATCAGACAAATGACTAGCAATAAACCCATTATAGATTGTGAACTAATTATCACTAGGTGGATAGGATAATGTGTGATTTTCATTTACCTTTTTATGTTCTTTTTTCTTCCAAACTTCTTACAATGTGAAAGTATTTTATATTTCTGAAAAAAATTTAAATGTGCATAAAACCATTGTTTCTTCACCTTTTTATTGCACATATAATCAAGTTTTACTGTTGAAAATACTTTAGAGTATAAGTAAGCACAGTAAAAAACTTAAAATCTAAAATAAACTCAGTATTCAGAAATAATGCTAGAAAATTTTTGGTGTATGTTCTTCCATACTATTTCACAGGTATGTTTGCTTTATTTTACAAAATGGTATTCTTTTAACCTAATTTTTCCCCTTAATAAATTGTACACATCTTTCTATGTCAGTAACTGTGCATCTATATTATAATTTTAATATATTACTTATTTACTTAAGTTTTTTCCTTTTTTATTATAAAAACTGCTGTGATGAGGACATATGTTGTGCAAGTTGTGCAGAGCACAAACTGCCTCATCCTAGATGGTGGCTCTGTACTTTATTGTGTGCAAATTTATTCAGATATTACTTAAAATAATTCTTAAAAGTAGAGTTGCTGATCTAAAGGATATGTACAACATAAAGCTTATTACAGCATAAAATTTATAAGTAATCGAGATGTCCAACAATTGGGGTGGATAAATAAAATGATATTATAAATATATGATGGAATACTATACAGCCATTTAAGTTTATACCACAGAAGAATATCCTGAAATGGGAATGTGTTCACAAGATCTCATTAGTGAGAGGAACAGGTCACATGAATGTAAATATATATATACATATATATGTTAGTAAATTCTTTTAGAAAGCCCTCACCGTTTTGGCTCAGTGGTAAGAGCGCTGGCCTGTGAACTGAAGGGTCTTGGTTTCAATTCAGTCAAAGGCAGGTATCGCAGTTGGAGGCTGGGTCCCCAGCCCCAGCCCCAGTCAGGGCACATGTGGGAAACAACCAATCAATGTCTCTCACATCGATGTTTCTCTCTCTGTGTCTCCCCCTCCCACTCTCTTTAAAAAATAAATAAATAAAATATCCTCGGGTGAGGATTAACAAAAAAAACAGAACAAACAAAAAAAATTGTAGAAAGAAAACTATATAAATGTCCTCAGAAAAATAACCAGAAGAGTATACATTAAAATGTTCATAGTAAATGTCCCCAAAGGAAAATGTACAGATTATAGTATATTTACACAATAGAATATTATACTACACCTAAACAACAATAATATGGATGGATTTTACTTTTGTAATGTTAAATTAAAAGATCAAGTACAGGAAGACTATGTATAACTAGATATCCTTTATATCTTATTTAAAAACAAGTAAAACTAATAACTATAGGGTGTCCCAAAAATGTATACACATACTTTGAATAATTATAAAGGCAGTGTTTATTAAAATGCATTTCATTTTCAAAATCGAGCTATCAGCTGTTACAGTGTCTATACACTTTTGGGGATGTGCTGTATATTATTTAGGCATACATATATATTTTGGATTAAAATATATTATTTAAAAAGCCAAGGAATATCAATAAAAAGTTAGGATAGTGGTCTTTGGAGTTGAGGAAATGGGGCCGCAGTAGGAGAGGATCATAGAAGTGGATTGAAGTTATTGTCAGTATTCTAGTGCTCAGGTTCAATGGGTGAGTGGGTGAGTGTTCATTATGTAATTAAAAGCATACTATTGACTTTAATAATTGTATGATTATAATGAAAATTAAATAAAGGACAAGTTAATGCATAAAAAATAAAAGAGGGCCATGCATGGATCACTGAGACAATGTGCATGATCTATGATAGCGTACATGAATTATTTATAATCCAGTTTTATGCAATTGAATTTTATGATATTTTCTTAAGCAATTATCTCTGGGGGTTGGGAATACATGTACTTTTTATTCTCTTGTGGCTTTTTATTCTCTAAATTTTCTGGAAAAAACAAGCCCAAAATTACATAGACTAAGCATCATATCTGTAAAAAAAATGCATAACAGGGACTTAAAAGAAAGTGTTGACATGTTAATAATAATTGCCTCTGTGTAGTGAAATTTCATATAGTTTTTTATGTTTCCTTAGAGGTTTTTTTTAATCCAGGTGTTATAGAGTGAGATTGTGTTATTTTTTCTGTTACAAAAGTCACATATGCTTCTCATAGGGTTAAAAGGGCAGTAGTATGTAAAGAAAGAAATAAAAATACCCTTCTCCCAGGCATGATGATTTATTTGCTCTGAATCTTACAAGAACTTTTTCTGTTTATATGCATGTGTTCTTGTGTGTTTTATAATATGAATCATGCTATACCTACACCAGGTTCTCTAATAATGTTTCATTCAATCTTGTTTTGTTAAAATTGATGAGAAAAATCGATTCCTGGACAGGGCCACTCTATGTGGTTTGCATGTTCTCTCCACGTCTGCGTGGATTTTCTCCAGGGACTCCGGTGTCTTCCCACATCCCCAAATGTGCATATGACATGAAGTGGTGTGTCTATATTGTCCCAGTCTGAGTGAGTATAGATGTGTGTGAGAGGCCCTGCCATGGAAGGGCATCCTGTCCAGGGTGGATCCCGTCTTGTGTCCTGAGGAGAGGCTCCAGTTACCCATGACCTTGAACTGGGATAAAAAGGTTGGAAAATCATTCTGTTACTTGTTTTTATTCATTTTTCTTAAATGTATGTATATCACACATTTATTTCAGTGTTTGATATTAGAAGTGCTTGGGTATTTATTTAGAAGTTTGGTGATGTTTTTGTGACTAGAATATGCCCTAGGAACTTAATTCTTGTTTCTATCAATTAGCCTATGGTAAAATTGGTTTCATTATACATTGTTTCCCTCAAAGTCACAGTTTCCAAGAACCTATCTATGAAGTTAAGTGAGGACTTAACTACTATTCTACAACTTACTGTCCTTCCCCCCTCCCTTTTGTGTTCAATAGAAAGGCATTGTATCAGCCAGTAGAAATCCATAGTAGGTGTATTATGTAATTTATTAAATTCTTTCCAAATGATAGAATTTGGATTAATAGTTTTTACTATTACACACAATGCTATACAAAGCATTTTTTAAATCTATTTTTTGCATGTTTAAAAGTATTTTTATAGGCTAGTACCTAGAAATATAACTGCCAGATCAAAGGGTTTGAGCTAAATTGCCTTTGTGGCATGCTGGACACTATCATTCTTTTTTATTTTGTCAGCATTTTGGATGAAAAATCCAATCTCATTCCTTTAAGTTATTTCCCCTACCCCCTACTAAAGTTAAGCACTTTTTAATATATTTATTAGCTATTTCTATTTTGTTGGAGATTGCTTGTTCATCTCCTTTGCCTATTTTTCTTTTGAGTCATTTATCTTTTTTTCTTTCTTGATATGTAGGTCTTTAGATACTAGAGATAGTATCCTTTTGTCTGTTATATATTACAAATGTCTGTCATTTGTCTTTTTAAAAGTTATTTATAATACTATTTGCCATAAAGATTTAATTATGTAAATAGGCAAACATTTTAATTTTTTATAGTTTCTTGGTTTTGTCCCATTTTTAGGTAGGCTTCTATATCCCCAAATTATAAAAATATTAGTCAATATTTTTTTCTAATATTTTACATATTTTATTCTTAGTGCTTTAATCCATATGAGATTGTTGTTTGTGTGTGTGTGTGTGTATACCTATGGTCAAAAGTAGGAACCTACTTTAATTTTTCTAGAAGACAAAGTTAGTTTTCCTAACTTATTTATTGTATTGAATGATATTTATACTAATTTGGAATTCTCTTTTCATCATGAATTGTATGAGCATGCTTGTTTATTTTCTGTTCAATTTTTGTCTATTACTGAGCTAATACCTCACTGATTTAATTACTGGATTAATTATTTTAATTACTTTAATTTGTTATTAATTAAAAATATGTTTTGAAATCCATTCCTTCTTTTCAGAATTTATTTGGCTATTTGTCTACATTTTCTTTTTCCAGATGAATTATAGAATTAACTCATCAACTTCAGTAAAAAGAAAAAAATCCCTGGAAGTGCCTCGGAAATTTTGAGTCACCTATCAAGAACTGGCATTTGTACAATAAAGGGTTTTGCATTTATCTTATATCCAGGCATCATTTTAAACTCTGTTCTTAGCTCTATGTTTGTTCCCAGTTAATTATCTTTAATTCCTAGTTGTACAATCATGTCAGTTGTAAATAAGGAAACGTTTGTCTTTTCATTTCTAATGTTTGTTTCTAATTTGGTTTTCCTTTTGAGGCATTGGTAAAGATCTGTGACTTCCAGGAGAATGCTGATTTATATTGATTAATAAAAATGAGGCCTCCTCCTCTTGTTTTTTACTTTAACAGAAATATCTTTTTCACATCATGGCACACTGGGGTAAATTAAACTGACAAGATTGCTCAGGGCAGAGACAACTGGCTTCCCAGGTCTGTCTTCCCTCAAAGCCTTAGAACAGTGGTTCTCAACCTTCCTAATGCTGCGACCCTTTAATACAGTTCCTCATGTTGTGGTGACCCCCAACCATAAAATTATTTTTCTTGCTACTTCATAACTGTAATTTTGCTAATGTTATGAATCGTAATGTAAATATCTGATATGCAGGATGTATTTTCATTGTTACAAATTAAAGCATAGTGATTAATTACAAAAACAATATGTAATTATATATGTGTTTTCCGATGGTCTTAGGTGACCCCTGTGAAAGGGTAGTGCAACCCCCAAAGGGGTCCCGACCCACAGGTTGAGAACCTCTGCCTTAGAAGATAGCATGTTACACATACAACCCCTCCACAGGACACCAATGTGCCAAGGCATACTTATTGGGAAACTCTCATTTATTGTTTTTCTTTGTGTGATATTCTTTTTCTGATTTAATATCAGGATTGTCTTAACTTTATAAATGAACTTATTTTTTTCTTATTTTAAAATCTAAGTAACTTAGACACAAGCTATTCCCCTTGAACACTTGATAACACTCAACCATAAAACCATTTTGTCCTAGTGCTTGTTTTCGGGGAGAGAGGGTAGAAATGTAAATCTTCTTTCAATGTCTTTGATGGTTAGTCTATTCAGGTTTTCACCCCTCCTTGAGACAATTTTGTCAATTTGTTTGTAAAACTTCCATTTCATATGGATTTTTAAATGTAAGTTGTATGTATTATATTCTAATGTGTATGGTTTTGCATATATATGGCTTTACCTTTTTTATTCTTTTTCTTAATAGGACTTTACATATTTGATTTTCAGATAACTATTAAAAAGCAAATCTTTTTTAAAATATCACTTCCTGCTTTTATTAATTTCTTTTTTTCTACAGTCTTTGTTTCCATTTGATTTCTTTCTAGATTTAAGTGATTGCTTAATTTATTATTGAGTCCTTCTTACTTTCTATTTAATGCATTTAAATAATAAATTTTCCTCCAAATACATTTGACCATGTCCCATAGTTTTCACATGCAGTGTTATAATAGTCATTCTTTTGATACCTTATCTGTAATTTTCCTTTTTAATCTAAGAGTTATCTTAGATTTATATATTTCAACATGGTTAGGTTTTAGTTGATGTTTGCTTTTTCTATCCTTGTTTTCTTTATTGCTAGTTACACTCTCTCATGGATGGAGAATGTTTTCTGCATGAATTATACATCTTGGAATATTATCTTTTTGTCCTAACGTAAAAATGTTTTATAAATATTCCATGGGCAATTGAAGCAAATGTTGTATTTTGTTTGGGTAATATTATATCATATTTAGACATATTAAATCAAACTTATTCATTGTTATTCAGATTTTCCCTATTCTATTAATCTAAATTTTCTGAGAAAAGTATGTAAAATGTCATACTGTTGTTTTATCATAGTCCTCTATTTCTAACCTTTTTTGTTTTACATGTTTGAATTTTTTTCAGTGCATTAAATTTCATGTTTTTCTTATTGGATTATGTTAATTCACAACATAAAGATATCTTCTTTTATCCATTTAATGCTTTTTTGCCTTAACATTTCTTTGCCACTTCTACTAGATTTTTGTTAGTATTTGTCTGGTGTATCTTTATCTTTTCCAGTATTTTTAACTTTTCTGTTTTGTTTTGTTTTAGGTGTATTTTTTAAGAGATAGTAGAGATTTATTTTCCTATACTCTTTAATTTGGATCCCCTATCCCTTTCCCTGCCAACTGAGCTGATTTCCCACCATTGGTAGAAAGTGATGACCCTCCGCCAGGCAATTGCAGCATGCTGCACCACCAGCCCCTGGTACAGAAGAAAGTCTTTATGCTAACCTGGTTCCAGCTTCAGGAGCACAAAACTCAAGCTTTTAATCACTTGAGACTTTTAAACAGCACCAACTGGTGCTCTAGCTTATTTGGACCTTAAATGCCACCACCTCTCACTAGATCCCAGATGTTATTTAAATTATATTTCAAGAATTTACAAAAAAAAGAGGAAGAGAAGAAGCTTATCAGAATAAGAGCATCCTAGGAATGTTCTTAAAGTCTCTATTTCAGCTTTTGGCTGACATATGAAATTATAGACAATAAATATAGTCCCCTTCCCCAGGTATGACACTAAACCAGCTTCTTCTGGGGTCTGGTTACAGTATTCATAAAGACAAACTGCCTTGAAAGTCAGACTAGTGATGCTGTGGCCCCAGTGGCCTCTGCAAGTGTGTTGGGGTCCAACCCCAACGGGTCCAGGGATCCCCAAAGGTGTGGACGGAGTCGGCGAAGAATGAATGACATGGAAACTGGGTTCAGTTCATCAGCATAGCGAGGTTCTCCCTCCAGGATCTCCAGCGAAGTTCTGGTCAGGATCTTCAACCAAGTTCTGGTGCCATGTTCTCTCACTAGGTTCTCCAGCCAGGTTCCCCATGTTCTCCAGCCAGGTTCAGTCACCAGGTTCTTTAGCCAGGTTCTATCCAGGCTCTTTTGCCATGTTCTGTCTAGGTCCTCCAGTGAAGTTCTGTAGCCAGGTTCTGTCCAGGATCTTTTGCCATGTTCTCTGGCTAGGTTCTGGTTAGGATCTGAAGAGGATCTGATGAGGATCTGATGATCTGATGATTATTGTCTTGATTTATACCAGCCGATTTTAATCCTGTCAATTTCTATTACAAAGGTTAGGGCGTTTCTTATCTCCATTCCAGGGAGTAAAGATTATGTAGCTTAACTACCCGCCTGGCACTTAATTAAGGGGTTGTATCCCCTCCCTAACCTCAGGGAAAAATCCCCACCTGGGGAAACAACCTTTCTCAGAGAGGTGACCTTGGTTAAAACACATGGCACTAAGGAGAGCAAACATATTAAGAATAGTATGCTATATATGCCAGGTCCCTTGAAACATATGCTGTGCAGATGTTTCTTTCCTGCAGCGACTGTGTCAAGCAGCAAGGATGGACCGGCTTCCAGCACAAGTGAGGCCTTGCCATCCACTGGTGAACAAATACATAGTGTGCAGCATCAGTCCCTGGGCCCTCCTGCCTCCCAAGTCTCAGCAGGATCCCTGTGAGGGAGCAG